AAGTCTTGTGATGTCTTACTTAATTGTACCGGTATATGAATGGTGTTAAAAATATATTTCGATTTGACTGTTGTAATGTTCTTCTTGACATTTTGTCTCTTGAAGTATGTGAACTACTTATTTCCAAGTGCAAAAAATATTGATCCCCCCACTTTGAATTTATAAAAAAATTGAACCCCCCTTGTCCATATACAGAAAAAAACTTTATCCCCCTGCATTTTGACCAGCCCCCTCCCAGGTAAATCAAAGCACTGTAAGCGCTGTAGGCAGTTAACCAAAAACCAAGGCAAACGTAATTATGAAAACTGTGGCAGTGTTGTTTCAATTTTTTTTAAAAGATTTGAAAGAACAAACATTAAACATTCGTATATTGTACAATTTTATGTTCATTAAATGAATTGATTATTAAGGCAAATTAATTAATATTTCATCAAGGTTTTCAAAAGCAACTCATATATCAATGTAAATGACCCCCATCTTCACCCCCATATGCATGATGTTACTCCATACCAAGTTTGGAATAAAATGACAGGTGATTATAAAACAGTTGGTCAAACATTATCGGGCTTTACACTGCTTGAAAGATTTATATGTTTTCTTTAAAATGAGCCATAAATGAAAATTATTATAGACCCAGAAATAATTTAATAAATAATTAAAGTAAATTCAATTAACCTAGACTCATTTTTTGCATCAATAAAATTTTATAATAAACAAGAAATAATTGTAACAGGATGCCGTTACGAAGTCTCCCAAACAAAGCCCCCATAATTCGTCATTCCCATGGTCTCCTGACATTGGGCAAAGTCCAGTTCATATTGGTTTGGTCTAGTAAAGTGATATGCATATGTGACACCTAGGAGATTGACCCTGTATGTCATTCAAATCTTTTTGAAATGATGAACAGGAATAAATATGGTTTAGGTGTGGGTATCTCGACCGTTTACAAGTTCTCAAACAGGAGGGGTGGGGTGACCCCAGGGACTCCCCCTATATTTCATTTGATTTTTTATATTGTCCCATACATGAATACATATGGTTTAGGGTGTGGGGATCTCGACCATTTCCAAGTTCTCAAACAGGAGGGGGTGGGGTTACCCTAGGGACTCCCCAAATATTTCATTTGATTTGTTATATTGTCCCATACATGAATATATATTGTTTAGAGGTGGGGATCTTGACTGTTTACAAGTTCTCAAACAAGAGGGGGTGGGGTGTCCCCTTGGACTCCCCCTATATTTCATTTGATTTGTTTTATTGTCCCATACATGACAAGAAATAATTGTAACAAGATGCTGTTACAAAGTCTCCCAAACAAAGCTCCAATAATTTGTCATTCCCATGGTCGCCTGACATTGGGCAAAGTCCAGTACAAATTGGTTTGGGATATGCATAAGTGACGCCTATGGATTAACCCTGTATGTCATTCAAATCTTCTTGAAATGACGAACAGGAATATATATGGTTTAGGGGTGGTGATCTCGACCGTTTACAAGATAAAAGCACATTCTCAAATTGAAGGGGGTGGGGTAAGAATATAAGGGGGTGATCCCCATGGACTTCCCCTATATTTCATTTGATTTGTTTTATTGTCCCATACAAGAATATATATGGTTTAGGGGTGGGGATCTGGACCGTTTACAAGATAATAGCACATTCTCAAATTAAAGGGGGTGGGGGGATGACCTCAGGCACTCACCCTTCTATTTCATCTGATTTGTTTTATTGTTCTGTGATCATTTCTGAAGACTGCGTGTGTCTATCACTTACAATTTTCAAGTTAAAGTCATTTGAAAATTTAAAAAAATAAAATCTCATAGGTTTCTTAAGCAAACCCCTCCCTTCTTTATGCCCCTTAAAATACCCCTTAATAGACCCCAATGCACAAACGATTGGTTGATGGCTCCCCTAGACATGTTAATCTAACATTTTATGAAACCCTAAGTAAATCTGACAAGGGTTTTGGAGAACCGCTGCAGACAAGTTCATCTTTAAAGTGGCAGAAGAAGAAAAAGAAAAAGAAGAAGAATAATAAAAATAATAAGAACTGAGCAAAAACAATAAGTCTCCAACTTAAATATATATGGTTTAGGGGTGGGGATCTCGACCATTTCCAAGTTCTCAAACAGGAGGTGGTGGGGTGACCCGAGGAACTAACCATATATTTCATTTGATTTGTTATATTGTCCCATACATGAATATATATGGTTTAGGGGTGGGGATCTTGACTGTTTACAAGTTCTCAAACAAGAGGGGGTGTCCCTATGGACTCCCCCTATATTTCATTTGATTTGTTTTATTGTCCCATACATGAATGTATATGGTTTAGGGGTGGGGATCTCAACCATTTCCAAGTTCTCAAACATGAGGGGTTGAAGGGACTCCCCATATATTCTCAAACAGGAGGGGGTGGGGTGACCCCAGGGACTCCCCTATATTTCATTTGATTTGTTTTATTGTCCCGAACATGAATATATATGGTTTAGGGGGTCGGGATCTCGACCATTTCCAAGTTCTCAAACAGGAGGGGGTGGGACGACACCAGGGACTCCCCCAAATTATTTTCATTTGATTTCTTTTATTTTCCCATACAAGTACTAGTATATATATATTGTTTGGGGTGGGGATCGCGACGGTTTACAAGATAAAAGTACATTTTCAAATTGAAGGGGTTAGGATGACCCCCAGGGACTCATCCTATATTTTGGTTGATTTTTTTTATTGTCCTGTTCTCATTACTGAAGACTGCATGTGTCTATCACTTACTGTTTAAGATTAATTGATTGTTGGTTGCTTAACATCCAGTGGCAAATATTTCATGCATATTCAGGACAATACTGTTTTAGAGAAATAGTCATTTGAAAATTTAAAAAAAAAAAAAAATCCCATAGGGTTCTATAGTAAAAAGTAAAATCACAAAAATCTCCTCCCTTTTTCAGGCCCCTCCAAATACCCCTAAATAGACCCCAATGCACAACCAAAAGATTAATGGCTCCGCTAGACATTTTAGTCTAATATTTTATGAAACCCTAAGTAAATCTGACAAACGGTCAAAGTTGTCTTCTTAGACGGTTTGATTGGATTCGGTCCGACTTGTCTCGGGGACGAGTTTGTCCACATTACTTAAAACATCCTATCAACGTCGATTTCCGCATCTGTTTCACGACCTCGTATCATTCATAAAATAACAACAACCTTATTTGGCAAGATAAGTTAAATATTACCGCCCACTTATATAACTTTATTTCCTCTATCATAGAGATTTGTTGTACATGAACAATATTCCTGCGCATTTTACCATTTGGGAAATATAAACGACTTGTAATTACTGATTTTCGGCAATGAAATATTTCATACAATTGTTCTTTGACATCGTAGCCAAAAGCACAGGGGATAATAAACTACGTATGGATTTCTATTGAGCACTACTTCCTATGTGCAACTTCAAAAGTTTTGGGTAGTTCGACGATCATTTAAGGTTTATCTGGTCATATTTTTTGTATTCCAGAAATAAAAGTATTAAAAAAATGTCCAATTAGTTATAAATAACATAATAGCCAGCTAGATAATAACAATGGCACATATTTCAGCATTTATTGGGTAGAACACAAATCTAGGGTGCTCGCATAAGGCAGCTTAACTGCCTAAAAATGATAAGTCCCTTAAAAGCTTACAATTGAGTTCATGTTTCATTTTTCTTTCTTTTGTTTGTTTTTATTTTTTTCACTATTGTAACATTACTTCCGGTTAACCGCAGTAACTGCAAAATTTGTACTTCACTGTTTTATTTCATGTATATACTTGTCCTGAAGACGCCACGCTTGCTGGCAAAACATGTCGACCAATTAAACGAGCACCATGCGGTAAAAATTTGAGTGTTGTTGTCGTTCGTGTCGAATATATTTTTTCACTTTTCATTATTGTCTGACAATCTGTCAAGCAATGTGTTAGGGTTAATGTTCAAGCTTATTTCATTATCACTAAACTTTTCCCTCATGTATGGCACATATCAGTGTTTTCTGGACCCTGAAGAAAATTGCTTTAAACGTTTGACCGATAATCTTTATCTGCATGCATTTCTTCTATGTGATCTTGTATATGACCTGAGTTTCATTATATTTTGTAATACAGAGAAATTGCCTTATAATTGTTTGAGCACCAAAAAAAAAAAATTGTTAACATCTGAAAATGAATGCTAGTACAAATGTAGAAATGATGTAAGCATTTACCATCTGTATTTATTTCAGGACCTTATTTCAATTGACCATTTCAGAATCTGAAGTTCATTTAACTGTTCATAAATCAAAATAAAGTCACACTATTGGTTAAATATCCATTGTTTAAGACATTATTTATTAACCAATCACATTTGGTGTACACTTTGAAAATAATACCCAGCATGCATTTGATTCTGAGAAAGCAAATTGATATAAATGTTACTCTTATCTAAATTATTTGGATCATAATGTCCTTTATTTTTATGAGTGATGTATTTGTTGCAATTAAACTGTTTCTAGACGAATCCTACCTCAACCTCAGATTTATCATAAAATTTTCAAATATTTGAAATATAAATATTCTAGAAACATGTAAAATGAACACTGAAAATAATATGTGTTTAAGCTTCAACCTAATCTCTAGACTTTCTACAATTCTGCTGGCTTATGCTGTCTAACAAAATAGGCAGGAAATTACTGAAATTTCATATAAATCAATTCTAACTTTTTTTTCTCATTGTTTTGACATTATAAAAGCCATGTTAAATTGTTCCTTTGAAGATTATGTAACCTGCACTCTAACATTATAACCACTATTTACATCAATATGACAGACAGTATTGTTATCTAATGATATTGAAACTAACGTCTTCAAATTGTCAACCATGATCGTAATGCCACGGTGAAGGCATATATCTATATCCTATGTTCTATAGAAATGCCCCCAGTTGTAGACTTTTTTTATTCTATTACATTTCATCTCCATTTATTTTTATTTTACAGACAGAGATTGTGAGACATCAGCTATGGTTGTGACAAGTAATATGAAAACTAACTAATCTTGTCACCCAATGAAATCCGGAGATTTTTATCATGTTATCCATCAAGCTTCCCAAATGATCCATCAGTTGTCTTTATTGATTTCATAAGAAGTTATTCATTGCTTGTGAAAAGTGAGAATTGTTGAAGTATTGGGAAAATATACAAAACCATGCATGTTATGGAAAGCATAAGATATGACATTTTGGCGAGCATGAAAATAGTATGTTATTAACGCACAAATCATCAGTATAACAGCTAATATACCTGAAACTATAAAAATCATCCTATAATCAGAGATGAAACAGGACAACTGGAAAGTACAGCTAAGTCATTTAAACTGGAGATTTGAAAATCCATCAGGGATTTTATAATTGTGAATGAAATTTACCCAAATGTTATATTGAATTTTTTTCAACATATGCCGATGGAATCAGTTAGTGTAGGTTCGTAACAGGTTTTGTCTTATTGAGTTTGTCGACGTTGAAATCAATTACAGCTCAACCCATATTGAATTTGACACAAGGACAGTATTAACTAATGATAGAACAGAATTCTACAAATAAAGAAAATGACAATCCAACTTATATCAATATTGTCAGTGTGTGTCCATATAGTCATCAATTAGATCATATCTTTTTTATAACAAAACTGACTCCAAAAGAGACAAAAATATTTCTGAACTGAAATTATCATTCAGGCAGCCAGACAATAAATTAAGGAAGGAATAAAATTTAATTGGAGAAAACAAAAATGTTTAAATATAGAAATGGATATAATAATGAACCATCTGGTAAAAGTTAAAATTGTGAAACTGACGAATGACTACGTTAGACATCATATTATGATTATTGATCACACTATTGACAAGTAACTATAGAGTCGTTAAACTTGAACATATTTCATTTTAAAAAGATAACACTTCTCAAGGAGTTAATGCTGTAATTGTGTACACTATTAGACATTTTTAACCTCTGTAACAACTAAATGCAATTTACTGCAAGAAGACAACAGTGAAGGATACTATACAATGTTAACACCATGAAGAATTCTTTTTAACAAGAATTTAGCCAAATTATAGCAGCATACAAATGGATGAAATCTAGAAGTGTTCAACAGTAATTTCTTAAACATAAGTAAGCACAAGAATAAACTCGTTTGGAAGCATTTGAAATAGTCTTGGATGTATTTAAAATAGTCTCGAAAGAATATAAAATATATGTTACATGGGAATATGTTCATCACTGTGACGCATTATCATGGATTGCTTTGATAAATGTGAGTCTGGAAAATGTTGTTCTAACAGTAATCTTGGTTAAGTGTCTAGTACCGTGATTATAGTTTCATTGTGACCAGGCAGTCAATCAAGTCGTCTGAACGGACTTGATTTCATTATTTTGTTTCTACCATTTCCGATAACTTTCAGACTGCAGATCTGTTTCATTTTTAACTTTTCTTTTCCATTATCAACAGCTTAGCAAAGGATGAAAATAGGAAATACAAGCTTTCCTAGATCAAAAGACATTATACGTTGAAATAAACAAAATGCAATAAACTGGACGATCGAGTACAATTTAGAGCATACAAAAAGAGACATTTTAACAAAATGGCTGGTGCAGGGAATGTAACCAGTGTCACTCAAGTAACAGACACTGAAATTGAACTTTATTCAGTGGTGCTATCATCAACTACGTTGTGTCTTGCCTTATTTTTTGGAAGCGGTGGAAATATAACCATTTTGTTAGCAATGTGTTTTAATGGACTTATGTCACGACTACGATACATATTTTTGTCGATATTACTAATTGTTTGTACATTATATGACTTGTTATGGTGCCCACTAGAGATATATCATCTTATACATCATCACCATTCACCATACGATGTAGGATCAAAGGTCAAATTCGCAGGTCAGTGTCTGTACATATGTCTATTTACTGGATTATTCTGCAGTCTGGTAATGATCAGTATTCACAGTTTGTGTGTACTGATGGACAAATTAGTACGGAAATATTCGAAGTTAATAATACTTATTAGTAGCGTCATTGCAATAGTATTCGTTTCTGTAAATACGATTGGATATTCAGTCCTATCTACAAAATATGAAATTTCCAACTCATTGTCTTACTTAATTCTGAACAGTTATTCATACATATATCGTGTGACCTGTTACAGTGTTTGTATAGCTTCTTCTATTATTGTTATGGTGATAATGATTGCCATGGTAATTTATAAGCAAAATGTTCGGACAGAGAAAACATGTGAAGAATCTGACTACTCAGAGCCACCAACCCCTGAGAGACTAAATATAAACATACCAAGCTTACTCATTAAAGGTGCTGATGATGATAATGATAGTGATAACGAGGAGAACGAAAACAACGAGAAAAAATCCTTTCATGATTCTACAAAACATCTTGGTCCACAAGATGTTTCATCAATAAAAGATGACAATACTTCTACATTAGGAGAGCTACCATCTCCTTCTCGTACAAAAAATAATCACCTTAGTGTAAATATGGCAGCCATTTTAGGCAGACGTCGACATACAATTGGCCAAATAGGGTCCACAGGCCTGGATGTAATGGAAAAGGCCAAACAATACAATTATGTAAGAAAGTTCTCTGTGGATATTCAGGCCTTGCAAGCACAATTAGAAAATCCTAAAATTCATGGAGGAAACTTTCCTTTTAGATCAGATACTGAATTACAAAAGACTGCCCAGAATGACAGGAAAGAGTTTCTTATACGTAGACCACAAACTCCTAATTTGGATTCAAGAATGTGGGAGAATGATTTCTCTGAAAGCAGAGAAGACATATCGAAAAGTAATGAAGAATGCTGTAGGACTTCAATCCATTCTCAAAAGTCTACAAAATCCAACAGATCTAGCAAATCATATAAATCCAGTAGGTCAAATAAATCCAGCAGGTCAAATAAATCAAGCAGACGAAACTCTAGTCATGACACAGTCAGTCCTCCAATCATAACCCTATCAGAAACAACAGCGGAGGAACAACATGTCCTTGACCTTCAAGAAGACAAAGGACCAACTTACATAAAGCTTTGTTGTCTATTAATAGTAACATTTATATGTTGTTTACTACCCATGTATATAACGGAGACTGTTCGTCATCGTTTATCATCTGCCGCGTACATTAACATTGTGACCTGTACTATGGCTCTGTCTGTTGTACAGACAATTATATATCCACATGTTTTATTCTGTATGGATAACTTTATACATAATTCTGTACATAAATTTTTTGGTAAATTTCACAGCCAAGTTATGTTGGTTTGTTATGAAAGACAAGCAGTACCTACAGACAACATTGATATTACAGTTACCCAAGTGTAGTATGTCTATTTATAAATATATTATTTCTATTTCAATATCATATTGAATTATATCATGTATAACTGTGCTTTAGTCAATTTCATTGCCATTTACTGTTTCCTTTTTTTTTACTGATACCCATGACCATACAAGTTGAAGCACAGTATTCAGTATAAAAATATGGAGATGTGGTATGATTGCCAATGAGACAACTATCAACCAAAAATCACAGGACAAGAATGAGAACAGGGAATGTTACAGCCTTCAACAAAGAGCAAAACTCAAACATTAGTAAGCTGTTAAAGGCGCAATATAACAAAATGTACAACAATTCAACCTTAAAGCCAATGGCCTGAATTATGGTAAATAATTAACAAAAAACTATAACAGACATCAGTCACTTGATTACAGGCAGTCTTCTGGCATGGGATAGGCACATAAAGAATGTGGTGGGGTTTAGCTTGTTTGTGAGAGCACAACCCCGCCTACCTGTAACCCAGTACAGTGGTATAACAACACAACATAAGAAGATACTGTAAAAACCAGTTGGAAATGGCTTTACTCATCAGATCAACACAAAGCACATAAAAAACAGCATAATAACAACCTTATAGCATCTTACTATGTTTACACCCTAAAAATATTTCATTTTCTTCAATGACATGTTGGCATTAAATGTTAAAGGATTTATTCTACAATCTAGCAAAGTTATTTGATTGAAGTGTTAACATCACCTTCTACAAATTAGTTTCTATCAACATGATAAATAAACTCAATGTCATCATTCCTTTATTGGATTTTGGCATTTCTTAAACAAGGAATCGTTTCTGATGTTATATTCCAAACATAAAAATATCACCTATGATTTTTTTTTTCCATATTGAAATTAGGATTTAAATAGAAAAATAGAACAAACAACAAATGATAAATGTAACCAGTAACTGACCCGGACACTCTCCAATACATTTACAGAATATTGAACAATTGTATTCACAAATAATTTGATTAAAAGTTGAGTGAAATTACATGGCATTCTAAGAATGGTACAACAAAATGAAACATGAATACCAATAAGCTAAAGCCTGGGCATAAACTGAAAGACCTCAATTACTTTTACAAAATAATCAAAATTTTAGTCATTTGTAGAACTCGTTCAATTACTTCAGCTTCATCTTTATATCTGACAGAGGTTAGTTTAATGTTCCTAATAATGCCATTTAACTTGACAACTTAAATACAGTTCGCAACAGTTATCCAATAGACCAGAAAAATCTCACTTTGAGCTGTCTTTTGAGCTATCATTAGCACCAGACATACTAACAGAAACTTTCACACTAACTTATATTTTGGGCAATATTTACCATGGTGAAAGAGAGGTGAAAGATACCAAAGGGACATTTAAACTCATAAGTCGAAAATAAACTGACAACACCATGGCTAAAAAAGAAAAAGACCAACCGACAAACAACAGTATACAAAACACAACATAGTCATAGAAAACATCTCTTAAACATATAATAAAATATGGGATCAACTAACACCAACCATTTTGGAAATTATCAGAAATTGATTTGTCCACCTAAATACATAATTAGGTGAGATAATTGCCAATAGGACAGTAATCCAACAAACATATATGCAAGAGGGGGAACATGAAAAGGTAATAAAAAAATGAGCAAGTGTCCATACTAAGTCATGACAAGCTATCAAACCACTGAAGGGTTCATTCAAATGTTTTATTTGCAGAGTCTTTCACAAATTTGTGACCATTCATCAGTTCTTAGGCTTTCATTTAAAAGTTCAAATAAAATGAGCTTTTAGAGAAGTTACTTACAATTTTTATCAAATCTTAAAACGAAAAGATACTACCCTTGAACATTCATGACACTTCCAAATACATACAAAATTATTTGATTTAATTTGAAATTCTTAAGTCTTTCAGTCGAGAAAATATTTTTCTAAATTTTAAGACAATTTGTCATTTCTGGGTATTCACAAAAATGTATTCATTTGTGTGATGTCATGAGGCAAGATTGCCTTTTTTCATGCCATTACAATGGTAAAACCAGAGAATTGTATGCAGATTTGGCATTAACAGCTGAGAACAGTATGCCACGTTTATCATTTAAAGAAAAGTTATAGCAAAAAGTATAAATCCGCTTATAATTAGAGGAATATGGTACTATATATCACTTCCTGTGAAATATAAATCCAATATAATAATAAACGTAATAAAGCCGTACTGGAGAGGGATAGATCATTACAATCAGCAATACTGATCATATTTCTTTAATTCATTACAAATATAGTCAGATCTTCAACAAGATACTACACTGAAGGTGTGGTTAATATCCGTAATCTAATGCACTTATTACCACACGTCCATTATGATCAATCTCAATAATACGTTTGATTCATATCTGTTTCATAACAAGACAAATGCATTTGATTCAAATCATTTCCATAAGAAGACAGACACTTTTAAAATACACCTGATTTTTGACGTCATCTACATGTTTTATGGGCAAACTGGATCCCTGCATCCTTTGACTAACAAGGTTATTGTGCCCGTCTGAAATTTTTTCAAGCATCTCTGTATTCTGATGTACATAATTCAACGCTAACTACAGACAATCCATAAAAGGGCTTCGAACGCACAAATTAATAAGTGTTATTTATTTTTACTGAAAAAACTAGTGTTATCATTTATCATATTTATCTCAGGCGTGGAAATTATCCCAACTAAGATATCTACCCCTTTTCTCCATGTATTGATGTAGATTTTATGCCCAACAAACACACAAAAGACGTAACATAATAAACCAAATACTTTGACAGAAATATAATTATTGGAATCAAGTGTATTAAGGGATAGAAATATATTCTTACTTGGTTAGTTTATTGGTGTTTAATGCCACTTTCAGCACAATATGCTATTTCATGGCAGTCTGAATTTAATGGTGGAAAAGCTGGAGTGCTACCTTCGGCAGGAAAACTGACAATCTTAGTCAATTAAGAATAGAGACAAATGAACCTGCCATGTATGGGGTTCAAACACACAACCTAGTGATAGAGTAATTGAACTACTTAGACCACTTGGTCACTTCTACAGATGTGCATTCATGTGATGTTAAAAAAAACATCACTTATTTTCTAAGTTTCATACATATTTTTCTCTTTTGTCTTCTTTTTATGATAATTATTCAATTTTCCAGTTCAAGGTTCCCCCATAACATCTCAACCAAATTTATGACAATGAATAGAAAGCTGAGTTTTGATCTGAATCATTTATGCATTTCCTGTTACATGTGTTGATGTTATGAAAATTTAGTGATTTATATATGAACTGAATCAATGTTGTATTGTACTTATTACCATAATATGTATTTTAATGTAGATATGAATAATGTATTAACAAATGTCAATTTTCCTGTTTTGAATGATAAAAGATGTCAAAACATTTCGATAGATGCTTAGTGATAAAATCATACAATAAGTCAAGAAAAAAAAAGATTACAAAAACTTCATTTATTTTTTCAATACAGTCATGCAACTCTGAATTGAAATTGTATTTTAAAGAACTTTTTCTAAAACGGCTGACTTTGCAAAAAATAAAATGCAAATTAATGTTCTGAAAAACAATGTAAAAGAATTGTTTAAAAGAACAAATGAATGCTGATACTACATCAGATAGAGGTTCTTATATATTTTCAACATACTGAACTCACCTAAGAATTCTGAGCTACTGTTGTCAGTTCATGGCACTCACAAAAACAAATTTGGGTACATAAAAACCAACAACCAATTCTAAGCTATCCTTGCACAACATGGAAACCAATAAAACAATACTGAACTTAAATTACCTACACATAGAAATATAATGAACAATTATCTCAACACATGGAACAGAATTTAACCATTCTAAACTATACCTTGACATGATGTGAAGGGTCATGGAAACCAACCGGACATGGAACTGTTTAAACAAATTAATAAAACTGGCCAGACCAGTAACAAGAAAATTGAATAAAATATTTAAAGTTAATGTAGGTTCTAACCTAATTCTAATGCTGCTGGTTGAGTGGCCATTTCATTATGGAGATTTGGAAAAAGGTAAGTAAAGCAGTCAAAAGTCAATGAATTATTGGCCTATTTTCCCAATTAGTCGATCTCTTCAACTGAACATTTATAATAACTCAAGGCTCTCACTTTCTTAAGATACAGGATAAAACTGAATACCAATACCACTGTTTAAAAAGAAAATTTTAGACAATAAAAAGACATTTCTAAAATCTAAACTGACCACAGTAATTAAAATGCTTATGTTTTAACATTCAAAGACTATAACAACCTTTACTTTATTTGTCTGTTTAACTAATATCAATTTCTAGACATCTATAAAATTTGCTGGTTGTTCTTTTTATTGTGGGAAAATTGGGATGACAATATTTAGAGATAAATGGGAAAATCTCATACAGTGGGTACATCATGTGCTCCATCCCCGTTTTTTTTTTCAAATTAAACAAAGCAAGCCTTGCTATGACATAACAGTGCTAATAAGGGTACATATAGATCCATATGGGTAAATGTCAACTGACCTAACTTAGCTACTCAGCTACTGAAGATTCCTCACAAGGCTAATTACATTACAACTTAACAGCTGTTAACAGGATTATTTGTTTGTGCAGTAGTATAAACTTATTAGACTAAGCTGTCTGTCGTTTCAAAAGTTCATTGATCCAATTATATAAGTTTACAAGAAATCGAAAGCATTATTTCTATTTCCATTTTCATGTTCAGCTGATTAAGTTTTTGAGGTTTCACTGTCACGTAATTCAATCTAACAAACTAACTTGCCTCAGTTGCAACAAGTTTCCTAACTATAAAAAGAATGAAAGGTAAATCAAAAATGCATAGTTGCCTAGTGGTATTGAAAAGGTCAGGTTATTTGTAAAATTTACTTTGATAACTGCCCTAAAATATCAGAATCATTATAATTGCTTTCATCCGCTTTGACAACTGCCCTGAAATGTCAGAATCATAATAAAACATGCATTATAATTGCTTTATCCACTTTGATAACTGC